ATTCTCTTCTCCTTCTGAGATGCCCATTACCCATCTGTTGGATTGCTTTGTTTTACCCCATAAGTCTCTGAGGCTCTGCTCATTTTTCCTTGATCTTTTTTCTCTCTGTTTTTCAAGTTAGCTTACTTCTATTCATCTGTCTTCACATTCTCTGATTTTTTCTCCTGCCCTCTCACATCTGCTGTTAAGCCTTTCTAGTGCATTTTTCCTTTCAATCACTGTATTTTCCAACTCAAGAATATCCATTTGGTTCTTTTTTAATAAAAATTTCTATTTCTTTATTTCAGTCTCCTATTTATTGAGTCATTGTCAGACTTTAATTATTTAAACATGGTTTCTTTTAATTTTTTAAAACATATTTATAATCTCTTCTTTGAACTCTTTGGCTGCTGAGCTCACATAGATTTAGTTCTGCTGACTGCTTTTTTTTTTCTTGATTGTGAGTCACGCTTTCCTGTTTTTTGCATGACTTATAATTTTTGTTGGAAACTGACATTTTAGTTAGATTGTAGCCAATCTATAATCTTATTTTTTCTCATGAGAATTGTTATTGTTTTGCCTTTTTAAAAAGTAAATTATTTATACTTAATTTTTCTATCCTGTGCTGCCACTGATATTTCTTCTCGGTTTTTGAAATTATTTAAAATTTTTTTTTAGCTTGGCTTCCTAGGGTTTACCTCTTGAGTCTTCATAGCTTAGTGATCAGCCAATGATTGTTCAGAAGTTGTGTTTCAAACACTTTGAATCCTTAAGGCTTCTACTCTCTGCTGGTAGATTTCTGTGTGGATTGGTAAAAGTATTTAGTTTTGTGGCAGTTTTAAAGTCTACCTTGCCTTTTACTTTCCTCACAGCCTCTTGGGTCTCTCCTGTGTTTGTGTACAGTCTCCCTGTTAGCCAGTTTTGTGTGAAGAACTTATGCTATTTTGAGTCTCTCCTGCATGTGCACACAGCCTCCTAGTCAGCCAAAGATGTGTGGAAAGCTTATATAGCTCATTTTTATGTCTTTCAAAGTTCTAGGACCTCCCTGTTAAAATTTTTGGCTGGTCTGCCAGTCTGTTGCTTGCCCATACCAGAACTGCAACCTTAGGCTAGCGGAACTGTGGGTTACTAATGATTGAAGCATGGAGAAAGACATTTAGCAGAAAGAAGAAAGAACAAAAATACAAACACTACCATGCTCATGTGTGCATAAGTTATGATGAGCAATAACTTGACACCAAGATATCAACTTTGGTGCGAGATGTTCTCTCCCTTGGTACTTCCCTCAGGGTATGTGTTGGGTCTTTTGGCATCCTTGAACTATATATCAGGGTAAAGATCATAGGAGAGATGAGGAGATGACATATGGATAGCTTGATATTTGGAACTACTTTGGTCACATAATAACAAAGAATATCAGCAAGGAGGGGAGAGCTAGTAGGGAGAGAGTGGAGATTTAGAAATCATCCACTCCATCAGCTTCTCGGTTTGGTAGACCAGGAAAAAACTGAGGCACAAGGATGTTAAGTTTTTAGTCTATAGCTTCATGATTATTTGGTAAATTAGTTGTAATTTGTACATTAAGTCTTCTGGTTTTGAGTCTTTATTCTTTCTATTATGGCTGGCAGAGAATACGAGAAAAGTATAAGTTTTTGTAGAGCCATAAAATTTGTGAGTTAAAAATGACCTAAAGGAGTAATAATATCCTCTAATAATAACTTTCTGATATTGTTATAATCATTATTGGCTACCACTAAAACGACCAGCACGCGTTAAATGCCTAATATATCCCTATCACTGTGTAAGCTCATCATAAATATGTTATTAGTGTTCTCATTTTTAAAAATTAGGGAAAGCATTGAGAGATTTAGTGATTTGTCCAAGAACTCTCAGATAGTAAGTAGTAGAGCTGAGATCCAAACTTATAACTGTTTGAATTCAAAGCCTGTGCCTTTAACTGCCTGTTATATTATAGGTGATAGTGCCTAACCCTATACCTGGAAGGCTTTAATGCCTATACTGGAATTATTTATTGTGCATGTGTCACCCAGTCTATGCTTGAATACCTCTAGGGATGGGAAACTCACTCCATCCTCAAGTAGCTCTTTTCCTTATGTGATGGCTTCTGTTACAATTTTCTTATGTGGAATTAAATAGTATGTCTTTTGATTACTCCTGTAATGTTTGGCTTTCTGGATTTACACAGAATAAGTCAGTTATCTCTTCTGTATGAAAGCAAGTCTTCTTTAGTTTTTTCTTTGCCAGGTTCAGTACTCTCGTTTTTTTCAGCTATTTTTAAAAAATCAAAATTATTTCCCATCTTTATACTTTTCTTTGGATACACTCTAGACAATTAGTATCTAGCTGAGACTATTACAGCTGGGGATAAATATAATACCACAAGTTGGATACTAATAACAAAAATAATAATAGCTATACTTTATGGAGCTGTTATTATGTGGCATGCATAGTGCTAGTCTTTTATATATCTTTACAATAAGTTAGATGAAGAAATTGAGGCTTACAGAGGCTATGTGAACTTGAGCAGGTCACTTAAGCTTTGTGGACCTCAGTTTCCTCATATATACAATAGAAATAATAATATTTTTTATCATTTAGGATTACAAAAACAGATTAGGATTTCAAAAATAGGTAACTGACTATTAATAGCTTGTACAAATAATGCATTTGTCTCACATAACAAGAAATCAAGAGATGGGCAGTCTAGCACAAGTATGGTAGCTGTGGTAGCTCAATAAAGACATTAGGGGGCCGGCCCCATGGCTTAGCGGTTAAGTGCGTGTGCTCCACTACTGGTGGCCCGGGTTCGGATCCCGGGCTCACACCGACGCACCGCTTCTCCGGCCATGCTGAGGCCGTGTCCCACATACAGCAGCTAGAAGGATGTGCAACTGTGACATACAACTATCTGCTGGGGCTTTGGGGGTGGGGGGGGGAAGGAGGAGGATTGGCAATAGATGTTAGCTCAGAGCTGGTCTTCCTCAGCAAAAAGAGGATGATTAGCATGAATGTTAGCTCAGGGCTGATCTTCCTCAAAAAAAAAAAAAAAAGACATTAGGGACTTAGGCCCTTTCCGTCTTTCTATTCACCATCCTTGGTATGTAGTAGTACTTTGCTGTCTTGCTTCTTGACTCATTGTCACAAAATGGATACTATACCTTCGGGCCTCATATCTATGTTTTAGGCATGAATAATAGGAAGAACTAAAGACTGAAGGAAAAAACTTTCTCTTAGTGAGGCTTTGTCTTTTAGTTTGGCAAGGGAAATCCCCCTAGGGGATGGCCTGCAGCTCTTTGGCTAAAAACATGTTACATGGCTACCGCTTGCTTCAAGAAAAGCTGGAAAGTTGAATATTTTAGCTTTTCAGTCAGTAGAGGAAGGCAAAGGAGAAGGGATTGTGTTTAGGGTTTGGGTCAGCTAGTCAACAATGTCTACTATATACTTTCAGAGGATTTTTGGAAAAATTCAATGATACAATGTAATTTAAAAGTTTTATAGAGTGTAATTTAAATAAATGTAAACTATCTATTTATTATTCCTCTTGCCATCTATTGGATGGTCTTAAAAACTAGAGTGTATCCTTGAATTAATTTATCCTAATTTTGTATTTAAGCCTGAGAAAATCTATGAGGTTAGTTAGTTACTTCTGTTAAATGAGTTCACTTTATTGCCCACATTCTAGAAATTGGTATAAATATGTTTAGGCATAAATACTGCGTTATTTCCATCCAGCTCCCCTGTTTTCATCTAAGAATTAGTGAGGATCATTTCCATATCTGGCTAATCTTTGTGTACTACATGTCCTAACCCTCATTGTTATGGCTTTGTATTTATATCTGGGTTTCTTTTTTAGGGCTCCATTGATGTATTTGAAGACTGTCTGTCCAGAGAGATGTTACACTCTTCATGCCACATGCCATATTTTCTCCTAGGTGTCATTGAGCATTGCTTAAAGAACTAAACTTTCCTATTGGTACCATCAATATGGGCATTAGTTTTTCCCTTCCAAAGCCGTTGGTGTCAACAGTTGCAGAGCAGTTATATTTTAGCATTTTCTCCTAAAATCTTTCAGTTTTCTGTGTAAAATTTGAAAATTTCTAGAGTTGTCAACCTGATTGATGCTGATAGCGTCATTTTTTTCTATGATAATCAGCTGAATTATATTTTAATTTGTAAAAATAGACAACTTCAGGGCAGGAAAGCTCCCTGCTCATTGGAAGCTTTCTAGATGAACGTTTGTTTTTGAGGAAGAGTGTTTTCTGGAGAATAACATCTGCTTTGAGTGAAAATCATACTGAAGTATAAAAAGCAGCCCATCACTAAAATAATTAGGAAAGAGGCAGATCTGCAAAGTGATTCTAGCCCTACTCTTGGTTTCTTCTGTGACCAACAAAATACTTCCAGATTGAAGGCGTGATTACTGAGTTAGAATATATGCAGAGGTACATGAAAAATATCAGGAGAAATTCTGAGCAGCTCACCCACAGAATAGCAGCCCTAATTGGAGCTGAATGGGCTGGCTGAGTGGTAACTTTGAAAATAGGTCAAGTATCCTGAATACACATGCTGGAGCTATCACCTGGTCCTACAGCACGAAGTAGAGGAAATGACCTTTATAGTCACTAGTATTCAGACAAAGTTGTATTATTTTTCCCCATGGAGAATGGTAAAAGATGTTAAGAAAAGGCCCCAGGAGGTAAATGAGTCTTGGAGGTGAGCTGAGAAGGGAAATAGAGGAGTAAGAATCTTAAATGAGGTCAGAGAGAGCTAAGAAACAGAAATCTCCAAAGAATTTGGAAATGACCAGAGAAACTTGAAGGATGTACTGTGGAGTATGAGACCCTTCAGGTTTATTACTTCTGAATCTCTTCATTCTGATGAAAATGTTGGTAGTTTATAAGTTCTGTCATTTTGGGTGAAACAAGACGTTGATGTGTGTATGGTTTTTCGTCTTGTTTTGTTTTGTTTTTGCTGCCTGCCTTCTTTCTTTCTTTCTGTAGACATTGTTCGAAGTGATGTTGCCTTGGATAAACAGAAGGGCTGCAAGATTGCCCAGCATCCTGATGTTATGTTGGAGCTCCAGCGGGAGAAGGCAGCTCACATGCATCTGGTTCTTCTAAAGGAGCAATTTTCCAATACTTACAGTAATCTCATATTAACAGGTAAGGCTATAGGAGCTGGCTGAAATCGTAGAGCACCATCGATTGATGGCCTCCATCAGTTAGCAACTTGACGCTTGGAAAACACTAGAGTGGGATCCAGATGAGCCTACATTTGTCTGTCTCCACCCACTGTATCCCTTTTTTAATTGAGATGGCTCTTGTCTTCCTATAAAAATATTTTTTGTAGTTTGCAGATGTATTTTTGCCTTGAGGTTATGGGTGATTCAGCATGTGTGATCTCAAAAGACAGAACCAATGAAAACCTAAGGAAGCCTTATAAAAATATGACTTTTTAGATTTGCGCCAATAGATTTGAGAGAATTACTAAATTTGGTGTCTAAGAAGCAGCTATTTTCTCTTTCTGCGTATGCCCTTTCTATGAACCCAGTGAATTTAAAGATGAAATATAAAGGAGATAATGATCCACAGGCAGAGCTGAGAATGTTCTATTCCTGGTAGAGTTTGAAAATATCTGGGGAATTTGATTTTCTTTTTAAGAGCAAAGAAGCTATGAGACTGAGTCATACTCCCTTACATCCTTGGTTCTAGGAGGGAAGTGAATATGTGTCAGAGCTCCAAGGAGAAACAACTTTTTGCAGGACTGCTTGCAAACTGCTGGTAAAGAGCATGCGAGCTGCATGCCTTTCTCAAGCTTTGGAAAAGATTCTAGTAGCAGAATCTAATGTGAGACTCAATGAAGGACTTGAGATGAACTAAGAAGAGCAGTCCAAGTTGCCTCCATTTTCTTGAGGGTATGCAAGGCAGACCTGCAATATATTGACCCAAATAAACTTTAGCAAATCAAAAGTGTTTGTTTTCCCTTGTTTATGATTATTTAAAAAAATAAAAAGATGGAATATTTGACAGGCTATGAACATCTCATACTTATTTTTGTAAACTCCAAGTTAGGAAAATTTTAACTTTTTTACAGGCTTCCTGACATGTCATCAGGAATTGCTGAGTGGCAACTCAACTGTTTTGCTTTTTAAAAAGCTAAGACTCTTCCAACTTTTTATCTTGTACCTGGTGGAAAACCCAACAGCATGAGATGAAAGCCAAATTTGAATGTGGCTTTGGTGAACAGAGAAGAGGATTATGAATTTCATAAGTATAGGCCCTATTTTTTGCTCTCTGATAGGTCATTAAGGAGGGAAAACTTAAAAGTGATTTTTGGCCAATTTTGTATGCATGTATTTCCCTAAATTGGTTAGTGAAACTGTGTTTAAGTTTAGATGTTTGGGAAGAACATAGATTTTTCTCAAAATTTCTTCAGTCTACCTCAAATGTACAAATGTACATGTATTTAGTATTTTCCAATTCAGTTATTGGAAATGAAATATTTTTATTTCATCCTTATTCTAATATTTTTAGGCACATATTGGAGATGTCAGACCCCATGTTCTTTAATGTGGCATAGAAAGGGCTTAGGGTAATTCTAACCCTAAACTGTGGATCCAGAGTGTGGCTTGAAAGCGTATTATCTTTGAAAACGCAAGTGTTCTATTGAGTTCAATGGAATCTTTTCTAATTCTCAGTAACATAATCCCTTTGGATGTTTATTCGCAGTTCAAACTGTTGGAATCAACATTGTCAACTTTTACCCTGACAACTTGCTTACTTTCCGCTAAACAAACTTACCCTAGAGAAGAGCCTCTTTCCTGCTCTCACTTCTCCCAAGCTGCTTCAAAGAGTCCTCAGGCATTTTCGACATTTTTCACCCAAATGCCTGTGCAGAGGTGGTACCTTGCTGCAGACAGAGCATTTGGTGTGCCCCGGTGTGTTTACATGAAAGTTCAAAAGGTTTTGGTTCCAGGTGTTGGGAAGAGACGGAGTCATTTCAATTTAGCACCAATGGTAAAACTATTTTAATGTCCTTTAACTAAGTCTTTGATTTTACACAGTGTGGTTTTCTAATTGTTATGAAGTTTAATCCTTGATTTCTTATATAAATTTTGAGAACATGGTCTCCAGACAGCTAAACATAATATTTAAACATAACTAAACTAACTTTTGTAAATATTTCCCTTTTCAGTGATGAATGTGTATTAGTAAGGAGAGTGAGGTTGAAGGGGCCGAGACCTCTCAAATGAAGTGACTTTCTCTACCAACATGTTCAGAACACCTACTCTAGGATTTCTACTTGGTGATGTTCCACTTATTTTATATAACTCGGGCATAATGTTTGAAATACCTGCAGTGAAAGTATTTATGTGGGAACAGGATGAGGAAACTGGGCCTTCAAAGAAACATCAGAAAGAGATCAATTTTTCATGCTTCTGCCCTTCCCTCACTTGCTCTCCCCAGTATTTGCAGAATTTTATGTATATGGGTAGCAGTGTATTGTAAATATTTCCTGGTCAGTTAGTGGTATATTCTTTATTTTAAAATTGGACAGCTAAGATCACAGTATAGGAAAGAAATTAATAAAGTGATTGAAATGTCAGATGGTTAAAAGCATGTTAAAAATGCTGGTTGTTGCCCTCCACCTCACAAGCAATCCCTCATTCTTAGATGTTCCATCTTTAGCTGATGTGACTGTCAGCGTTGAGGTGAGAGGCATGCCTTCATATTCTGCATTCCAGCCCATGATCTCTCTTAAATAGCCACCCCTCAGATGAGAAAAATGATATTTTAGCTTTGAGGGAACATTTAATAAAAGGAAACAACTCTACAGTCCTTAGAGACAGCCCAGTTAATGGAAACTAATAACAATTCTTTAATGCATGTATCTTATTGAAGTATTCTCATTATATCATATTTTTAGAAAAGTGGATTGTGTTTTTGCATGGTACTAAACATATCTTAATGTTTTCATTTGGATGATTTACAGAGTATTGGAAATAATGTTAGCTTCACCTAATCTAGAGGGTTTTTGAGGTAAATTCTAAGGTTATGGGAAGGTGATGGAGAAATTCCAGTAAAACATCAGTGATAGAACTATTTTAAATGGTGATGAGTCGTACGCTGTGCTTTTCACACTGACTCACAACATGTGCATGTGTGCTTGTCCTGCAGCTTCTTGAATCTGAGTGTGCTAATGTCACTGTGCATGTTACTCAAGGAGTGATAAATGAGAGAGTGAGTTGGACAGGGAACCTTTAAGAAAGTACAGGGATCATGTCTTTCATTTCTTTGTGCTCTCGTGATTCTTAATGTAATACTGCTCTGTAAATGTTACATGTATATAATAATGTATATAATACATGATGGATATAATACTGTGTATATAATACTGTGTATATAGTAAATGAATTTACTTGAAGACTACTTTTTTATTTTTTATTTTATTTTATTTTATTTTTGGTGAGGAAGATCAGGACTGAGCTAACATCCTTTGCCAATTTTCCTCTTTTTGTTGAGGAAGATTAGCCCTGAGCTAACATCCGTGGCCATCTTCCTCTATTTTGTATGTGAGATGCTGCCACAGCATGGCTTGATGAGTGGTTTGTAAGTTTGTGCCTGGGATTTGAACCTCTGAACCCCAGGCCGCTGAAGCAGAGTGCGCGAACTTAACCACTACGCCACTAGGCCGGCCCCCTTGGAGACTACTTTTTAAGGGATAATTTTGACATCTATTAAATAACTTTTATAGGTTCAGATTCAGTTATTTGTCTCCCCTCACCTCACCCTGCCTCCTTTTTTGAGGTGGAAATTGAACTTCTGTGGCAGATCCTTGTACTATAATCAAATGAAAAATAGAAAACAAAAGTTAACAGTCAGCCTTAAGGGGAGATAACATTTTCTAGGGAGGATACATTTTCTAGGATTTTGTTTAGAATATAAACTCCTGGAGGGCGAGGAATATCATATTTCTATAGCATTATACGTAGTATGTAGAACATAGTGAATGATCTTGAAATGAGGTCAAATTTTAAAAAATTTATTTGTGCTATGAAGTCATCTAGTCAACTCTCTGTAGCCAGGCAGCCTGAACCGTTGCCATCATAAATGGGTGGCATTACTCAAGATGCTTTCCAGTATTCCCTTATGAGAACTCTTGTCATGTTATTGGCTGCCACTTTTTGTTTTGTAACTCTTTTTTCAGTCATTAGATTCCAAAGTGGCCTGGGATTCCTGTGGTGCGCTTTACTGTGTTACTGTGGCAAATGAATTGAGCAAAAGAGGCTCATACTTCCCTGTTGTGGCCCATTCTTCTAAATTCAATTGAGCAAAAATCAGTGGAACAAGAACTGTTCTTTTAGTTCCCACAAACCATAATACTCAAAGGACTATTTCCAGGTCTTTTTAATTATTTGCATTATATTCTATAATATTGAATATAACATACTTTATTTAACCATTTCTGTATTAATTTACATTAATTTATATACATGTTGACACATTTCTTTTTTTTTTTTTTTTTCCTTCTGTGAGGAGGGTCAGCCCTGAGCTAACATCCATGCTAATCCTCTTTTTGCTGAGGAAGACCAGCTCTGAGCTAACATCTATTGCCAATCCTCCTCGTTTTTTTTTCCCCCCAAAGTCCCAGTAGACAGGTGTATGTCGTAGTTGCACATCCCTCTAGTTGCCGTTATGTGGGACGCTGCCTCAGCATGGCTGCAGAAGCAGTGTGTTGGTGTGCGCCCGGTATCCGAACCGGGGCCGCCAGTAGTGGAGCGTGCGCACTTAACTGCTAAGCCACGGGGCCGGCCCAACACATTTGTTTCTGTAGAGTAGATTTCTCAAAGTGGGATGTCTGGATCAAAAGGTATGTATTTTTAAATTTATAAATTCAGCTTTATTGAGGTATATTTTACATGCAGAAAAAATAAATTTTGACAAATTTACGTACTATAAAGTTACATAACCGCCAACACCATCAAGATATAGAAGATTTCTGTCACCCTAAAAAGTTCTCTTGTCTCTCTGCAGTCAATCTCCTTTCCTTTCCTCTAGTTCTTAGCTGTGTCTGATCTGATAATTGTCCCTAAATGTCATATAAATGGAATAATAAAGTGGTTGTGTGTGTCTGATTTCTTTCACTTAGCATAATTTTTTTGAGATTCATTCATCTTGTTGCGTATATCAGCAGTTCATTCCTTTTTATTGGTGGGTAGTATTTCATGTTATAAATATCCTACAATTTGTTTATCCATTCATCTGTTGATGGACATTTGGTTTGTCTCTAGTTTTTGGTGATTACGAATAAAGCCACTATAAACATTTGTTCTCAGATTTTTGTGTTGACATATGGTTTCATTTCTCTTAGGTAGATACCTAGGAGTGGAATTGCTTGATTTTTATGGTGTCTGTTTAACTTTATAAGAAACTGTCAGAGTGTTTTCCAAAGTGGCTATACTATCTTTCATTGCACCAACAGTGTGGGAGAGTTCTAGTTCCTCCACTTCCTTGCCAACAATTAGTATTGTTTATTTTTTAAGTTTTGGCTATTCTAGTGATTATGTAGTAGTATCTGGTGGTTTTAATTTGCAGTTTACCTTATGACTAATGATATTGAGCATCTCTTCATGTGCTTATTTGTCATCTATATATTTTCTTTGGTGAAGGGTCTGTTCAAGCCTTTTGTCCATTTTTGAAAAGTAATGAGTTTTGTTTTCTTACTATTGAGTTTTGAGAGTTCTGTGTTTATTTTGGGCTACAAGTCCTTTATCAGACATGTGATTTGCAAATATTTTTTCCTCTATGACTTGTCTTTTTATTTTCTTAATAGTTTCTTTCAAAGAGCAGAAACAATTTTGATGAAGTCCAATTTATGAATTTTTTCT